TATAGGACTGTAATTTGTTATTTAGGGTTCTTAATGTGTACAGTTTTTTTTTGCACCCTCATCCTTATGGCTCGGGGGGTAATGGCTAATAGGCAAATATTGATACATCGAAATATTTCCCCCACAAAATAGTCAAAATTGTACAATAAATTAATCATGCGAACGGACCAAACTTTGTACAACCTATTATCTTTACCAAGCCCAGATTATCCGAAGATGGGACCCATTGGACCACACCGTCTAGTACCTCCTCCACAAATGGTCAAAATATTCACTATTTATAATAATGTTTAGGTGAAAGGAATGTCTAGCAAACGAATTCTGATGCAGCGAGACTCTCCTGTTTTAGTTCTGTAACAGAGGTCTTAGGCTCATCTCTGACAGTTCTTAATATTCTTTTTTCATCATATTGACAGATGTTTCCATTTCGTCAACGCGTTTCTGGTTTGGCGTTAGAGATCAATTTCGCAGAACATCTTGCAAATCGCATTTACCATCCGATTTGAGGAAATTTGGCACAGGTCACTTATTTGGCACAAGGACAAACACTATTGAAATTGGAGAAAATCGGTTCAGATTTAGATATAGCTCCTATATACACCATTTACGTTCCGTACGATTTTATGTAAATGGTGCACCAAACTCCCAATAATTGTCTGATTGAAGTAATGTTTTGCACATAGTACTGAATTAGGTCCTGATTGACGTATGCGGAGTTTTGTTGGAATCGGTTCAGATTTAGATGTAGCTCCCACATATAGTTTTGACCGATTTAATGTAAATGGTGCACCATGTGTGTTAAGTTTCGTGAAAATCGATTCAGATTTAGATATAGCTCCCATATATTTTTTCGTCCGATTTTAGGTGAATGGTGCACCAACTATTAATGTTTGTCCGATTGACACGAAATTTTTTCACAACGTATCGAAATGAGACTAGAATGACGTTATTGCGTTTTGTTGATATACCTTCCATATATATTTCGAACGGTTGTATGATTGAGATACAATTTTGAACAGTGCGGCAGACCACACTATTATCAAGAATAGATCCAAAGTGTTGAAAGGTATCATATAGTCGGTCCAGTCTAATTTTTCTTTTGTAAAATGTTTTCCGCGGCCCATTAAAAAAAAAATTAGCTACTAACATTTTTAAATATAACGCATTATTAAGAAGATTAATTTGCACGCTACTGTAAGTAATACCTTTTGTATTGTCCACATAACCACAGAGAAGCAGTTCCAGGCAAAATAAAATTCCATTATTAGGAATACGAATATTTAAAACTATTTGCAGTTAATAGTTTGTAATTTGGGCATTATCCTCTTAAAATACATTTAATATTTGTTTGAAGTTATATTTGCCTTATGGTGTAATGTAATTTCTAAATTATCGAGAAATTTTGGAATATGTTCGTTAAAACTATTTTTTTATTCCATATGGAAGTAACACGCTACTAAATAGGATCTCTACAGTTTGTTTATAAAATAATGGTGTTTTACTGACACATCATACCCAAAATTTCGGCAATTTTTGTAAATGTCATTTGTTATAGCAATCAGTCTCACAGCATGTCTAACCATTCGGTAGTGACCTAACATTTCTTTGAGAAACTTCCCGTTGTGACAAAACGTAACATTTCCTCTCGAAATGTTTGCGAAAATAAACACAATGTCAGCTTAAAAAAAATAACATTTTAATACGACATCCTTTAAAATCTAAGTATTTGGATTTAGAAGTTTTTAGGTAATTCATGTCACGTACACTATGGCGTATGACGCACAGTTTCGTGTGGGTATCGAACAATTCCCATACGCACTCTTAATCATTTGCAAAGTGAATTTTGTGTCTCGTCGATGTACATAATACGTTTTTGTTTTGTTTGGGAACATCACAACAACTCGCACTTAGTGTATACATACGATACACATTTATATATTTACATTTACGTAATGGATTTTGTCTATCACGTGTCACTAAGAAGTGACTTTAAAAAGTGATTAGTTGATGTGATTTCGGCTGTCTTCTATTAAATTGTGACGAAAAGCTTTTTTTGTAGATTTGCGATATCTACTTCAATACTGTCGCATTTATTGAACTCGAAAAACATCTGGGTATATGATATACATAAGCCGTTAAGGTGACATAAAACGATACCATACCCACATACATATAAATTTATCAAACAGCTTAAAGAGAATGTGTGGTGTCAAACTTATTTTAGAATACATATTAAGAAAACGATAGAATTTTAATCCAAACATTAATTGCTATCCACAAAAAGTTATTCTTTTACATACAGTACATACGTGCTTGATAAATATAAAAAAGGGTAAAATTTTCTGTATATGGAAAAATTCTGTAAATTTTTACACAAGCATTCGAAATACCAAATAACAAGTTGGATATTCATTCCATATAAAATATATAAATATATTTGTAATGTATATAATGTAATATCTTTGTACTTAAATAGTTTAAACAAAATTCAATTGGTTAAAAGGTCCCATTTCAAAATTAGGATCCAAGTATTCCGTTTTGATTACAGCTGAAAATTTTATCTCTTCATTGAAAAGATCTACATTGTCACTATTTTATCTTGATCAAGAATATATTCATGAATGTGTTATGAAATATTTCTTAATCGACGTTAATGCTTCTTAGAGCAAAGAATTCAGGAGTGCAGGAAGGCTGCATCGATGTATCTAATTATGACATTTATCTGGAAAAACGGTGATATATCTATTTTGAATCTAAAATTTTCGTTTTGTATCACAATACCTTCCTTCACGCTAAATATTAGGCCTTATTGTGGGCCGATGTAGTTCATTTTCGAACCTGACATTCTAGTTCTTTTATCTTCATATTACAGAGGATAGAATGATGGGTAAATCTTCTTAGAACTCCATACTGTAGTGAATAAACTGACAATTTCGAGTACAATATGTCCCCCATACTATGGTGGAATACGGTTTTATGGTCAACCCGAAAAAGGACCTATATTTATAAATCTTAGTGAACAGATTTGCTACCCAATAAGAACTGGAAGTACTGGATTATAGCGAATTCGGCTGTAAGCCGCCCAAAATACTGAAAATTTATGGGTACCCTTTGTTGGAAAAATTGGTCTATATTTATAATTATTAGTGGACCCAAAGTTCCAAATTTCATAGAATTCGGTTGGAAAAGGCGCCCTTATATGGGCTATGCTTAAACGTTGACAGATATAGGCCATCTTCGAACTTGATCTGCCTGCCGACAAAAGTCGCGATCTATCTCAAATGTGTAAGTCGTGAAAGAATTTTACGCTGATCAAGAATATATGTACTTTATAGGGTCGGAAATTAATTCTATGAGTTGTATATATATTGTATATATTTATATATATATATATAAAGTACCGTCATATAGGGGCTACTTCAAAACGTAGGTGAATATTGATTATTCTCGGAAGGGTATCAAATTACAGCCCATTTGCTTTAAAAACATCCTCAAAATACCGAGTATAGGGTGTACAGTTATATGGAGGCTACAACAAAACATGGACCGATATATCCCCTTAGCAATACCAAACATCCAGAAGTACTAGCAATGTCTGTGCAAAGTTTCTATCATAAATATTGGAATCTCTATCATGCATAAATCGGCATAAAGTTCTATTCTGATCCACAATATATTACATATACCAGAATATTTAGAGGTGTTGCAAACTGGATGACACTATGGCGGAGGGAGTATAACAATTAAGTCCAGATCAACTTTAAAGATGACCCTTTTAGGTGTTTAAAGATAACTCCAGATTTTAGGTGTTTTTGAATTTGAACACAATTTCTTAAATGATGTAATTCTAATTAAATTATATTCGTAATTGTTTTGAGTAGTCCGCATATAACCCAGACTTTCGTTATGGTTGGGTTTTTAGAAATGCAACCTGCACCGGTTTGAAATGATTATTTGTGTACCAAATAATTAATATATGCCAGTCTAAAACATAATCCAGGAAAACAAATGATTCAAATCCATTACGTTAATCAACTGATATAAAAGGGTTAGCGGTTTAGAAAACTAGAACAGGAATAGAGGAAATCTAGAAAATTGTACACAAAAATAGGGTATCTCATGTATGTTTGTCACATGCCTAAAAACACAAACACCCTTGGTAATTTTGAACACCAAAACACACTCATGAGCGGGAAAATCACAATTCACATTCTCCCACAAACACATACGGCGATAGTGGTGCCAACACCCGGCAAATTCGCCTCCACGAAATCTCAAAACATAAAAGACCATCAACAAGCTGTCTATGTGTATTGCAAAAGTCAAGGTAATCACCAGAAACCCAAACAATAACAACAAACTGTGAAAAAGGCGAACAAAACAAAAAACACCGAATAAAACCGCAATAAAAACAACTACGGCAATTGTTTGTAAACAGAGAGCTGAATAGAAAATGTTGTGACATTTATTCTCAACGGATAAATAATCCATTTTGAGAACAAGTGGGTGGGTGAAAGGCGACGCATAAACATTTCCAATGTTTTCAATTCCAATGGAGGAAATTTTCTTTTAAATAGCATAACACTGAGAACGGAAGAGAGAAAGGGAGAGAAAATACTAGCATAGCATTTGAGAAAATTTCTTCTATCCGATAGGTTCAGTGAGCAGAGTAACGTGTGGGTGCTTTTGTTGTATGTGTGTGTTTGTAAGGGTGGTGGAAATCCTATGGTGAATTGTTAAAACAAAAACACTGTTGAATATCCATGTGAAAACAGATTCCATGAAAATAGCTCACCTAATGTTTCAGTCGCTTTGTAGACGTTCGCAGATGAAAACGTTTTGAAAAATGAAAACGGTCGCTGGCTATTGATTGTTGTTGTAGTGATTATACAAACGTTTATATATTTTTAGTGTAAAAACATATTTTTATAGATATATATTTTTTAATTATTAAACATAATGTGTTTTTCAAATTAAGTGAGAGAGTGTTTTTTAAAGTGAGAAAAAAAGTAAATATCAAAACAAAATGGGTTTACACGAAAAGTTGCGTAAATTTAAACGTAGCAGTCCCAGCCCCAATGGCATTGAAATGCAAAGACGTCGTTCTAGCCAAAATCTGGTTGTACCACCGGGTCAAGTGACCGAACAATCGTTGCAGGTATGGCGTGCTCTGCCACCGCAAATTCGACATGATCCCAGTATGGTTTCCTTTCAAATGGAAAACGAACGGCTACGAGGTGAGTATCAACTGCCATGATACGCCGCAATAATGTTTGTGGTGGTTGGCATTAATAGGGGAAACGGCCTCAAACGTGACCACCGCCAACAGCCTCAGCCATTTGTGGATATTATTAAAGAGGAACTCTGAATAATGAGATGGTTGTTATGTTTTTGTTTTTTTTTTGCAATGATATATTTGATTTGTGCTTGTGAGAGTGGTGGAGGGATAACTCTCACACAGAAGGATGCTCGTGATGTCGATGACACTTTTGTGGCTCAGTTAGAAGGATGTTGAAAGAAAAAAATAACAACAACACAGAACAAAACAAAAACATTGTTAATTGGAGCGGAAAATGCACATTGAAGGGTGGGGTTTTCAGTGTTTGTTGTTGGTGTGTATGAAGATGAATTCATTTAAGCGAACTTTAATAAAATGTTGAAATGGTTGATAATATTTTAGGTTTAAGTTGTATATAAGTAAATAAAAAACAGTAAGGCAAAGACCCTAATAAAACAAAACCGACTATGGGATACCCTTCATTACGACCATATAGTTATCAGATTGAACATATGGCAAGTAAAATAATATATAAGATGGAATGGAAACAATATCAAAAAATATGAATAGATTTGAAATGAACTTGAGATGTTAGATTCTGAATTATGTCTGGTAGGGAAATGTTAATAAAGGGATTTATATTTTTGAATTGGTTTAAAATCGGACCAACAATACACGTGAGAGCTGTATACTATATATTCATTTAGATTCAATTCGGTTGGAATTGCACAACTTCGTATGATTTTCTGTAAACAGAGATACAAACTCCGAGTCCGATTGAGTAATCGGTTCAGAATAAGATATAGCTCCCATATATAAATTCTCCCAATTTCCTGTTTCGAATTTAATGTTGATCAAATAGTTTTTTAAGGGGACCCCCCATTCTCGGTGTCAAAAAATTTTATTTATTTTTTTCGAATCTATACTAATTCAAGAATGTCCCTACAAAATTTCAAGTGAAAATCTCAAGAACTCTTGAAGATATAGTCGATTTATTGTGTCAGCATCAAGTGACGGCAAGAGTGATTCTCAAACTTTAAACGCATTTTTCTCGAATCAAGATGGCGGGCACAATAACTCAAAAACTAATAACCCAATCGATTTCAAATTTTGGGACGTTTCTCTGTGAGTGCATTGCTATCGTATGAACTAGGATAAAGCCAATCGGTGAAGATCTTCCTTATTTTTTAACTTGGTTATTGGTCAAAAATAGGCGATTTTCCAAAAAAAAGTTCCGCCATTTTGTTAATTGTTGTGCGAAGTCAATAATCCTAGTTCATACCAGAGCCAGACATGTACTCTTTCTAACACAGTTGGAATTTTCGGATTCCGATGTTCCAGTGAAGAGTTATCATGCCCGCCATCAAAAATAAGGACTTTTTTTGATCACAAAAAACAACAACAAAACCACCACAAAAATTTTTTGTAAATTATTTTTCTTCCTTTTTAAATCTTCAAATATATATGTGCAATGTTAGCCCATTTAAAATCTTGAAATACAAGTTTATAAAATATTGACCCTTTGTAAGGGAGGTACCAGAAGGAAAAGACCAATGGGCCCCAACTGCGGACTTAATCTACGCTTGATAAAGATAATATATTATACTGAGGGTATAATAAGAATATTAGGTTGGAGAAAAAGAAACCCATTATTTCTATATATGAACTATAGGACTTTATTTAACATGCTTCGGAATGTCCGATTTGGGCCAAATGTGCACCGTTTTATTGTATGATTTGTTGTCATTTTAAAGGTAATTTCATAATGCCAATAATCCTAGTTCATACGAGAGCCAGACATGTACTCTTTCTAACACCGTTGGAATTTTCGGATTCCGATGTTCCAGTGAGGAGTTATCATGCTCGCCATCAAAAATAAGGACTTTTCTTTAATTACAAAAAAAAAAAAAAAAAAAAACAAAACAATAACAAACATTTTTTGTAAATTATTTTTCTTCTCTTTTAAATCTTCAAATATATATGTTCAAAGTTACAAACCTCAACAAGCATTGGTATTGATTTATCAGCCCATTGAAAATCTTGAAAAATTAAAACCGAGAATGGGTGGGGTTCCCTTAAGACATTTTGCAATGCTAGAAAAATATGATAATTGCTTGGTGCCAACCCCGGACTGTATGGCAGATGCATTAAAACTTCCCAACCAATCTCCCGTCTGGCGAGTCACTGTAGATGTGTGTGTCCTAGCGTTGTCCTGGTCGAACACGACACAGTTAAACAGTTGTATGGTCGATTTGTCGCTCCTGGGTGATTTTACGACTGCTAACATGACGGTCAACATCGATCATTTTACATAATTGGCTGTTACAGTATCGGAACAGCTTGACTTGCACTTTCGCCTTTGTCAAAGAAAAAACTGAAAAATATACCGAATTTTCTCTTTGTTCACTTACATTTTTAACATCTTGTAACTAACTAACTAACAGCAAAGTGTTTTTTACTGCCAAATAGAATAAATCTGCAATTGTTGGTCGATACTTTACGAGAAATCTATCAGTACAGCCATCTGCCGAGAAAATAATGGATTTATTTTTCCCCAACCTAATTAGGAGCCTTTTTTGGGTAAATTGATAATTCACTGAAAACAACACAACACATGCACGTACGTCAAACTGAACTGAGTACATTTTTGTTTACAAAATCGCTAAATTAATATTTCATCTTTTAGTAGGGGTATATACAGTTCCAATTTCTAGTACATAAAATTGTAGATTGACTATCGCAAAATCAGCTGTTTTATATTATACGAGTAAATGATCGATAAATGTTAATGCACATTCTTCATAACTTATTCAGTTGACGTCAATGTGGTTAGCCCTCAATAAAACTATAAATTCCATTGCCTTCATAATACAGACATTCACATTTATTAACCATTATATTGAAACATATTTTTGCAGTTAGACTGAATTCAGACTGATAAACAATTCACAAATAATAATTTTTTAATTACCCCTTCACTCTCTACTACAAGGAAATATACCATCTAGCAATACTCACTATGGTCATAGACGACCATTTCCCCCCTTTTCTCTTCGAAACAATATTGCTGTGATTTTTTGCCAAAATAAATTTCAAAATCAAAACACATGTGACGAATGGCCTAAACAAAAACAAGCGAGAGAGATACATAGATAGGAAAAAAGAACATCATCCATGAATATTGTGGAATATCAATACAAAATATTCAAACACACATTTATTCATACATACATATATGTTTGTATGTATATTTGTCTCTATTTACATCACAGCACACAAAAAAAAAACATACGTATGGATTCATTCAACATGTGGCCGCATTGACTTTTTATCCCACGAATTTGTATGCACATATTCATGTACATAGATCCATACATATGAATGTGAATAGAAATAGGAAATTGTAACACACCATGTGTAAGGATTGTTGTTGGAATCTTTCAGGGAATTTCTAGTAAGGATGCCGGCCCTCTGTGTGTGTCATAGTCCTACGCGCGCGAATTCATCTTCATTTTGGACCGTACGTGTCAAGAAAACAGAATAGCGAAGTACCGCCCCATTCAATTTGTATGGTGATATTATTATGTCATGTATTCCAAATCATGGCTTAACTAAGTCCAAAGTAACCTTACCCTTTTCATATTTAGTACGTGATTAAAATATTATTATTTTCTCTATTCCCTTTTGTGGTGGCTTTTCTTTTTTTGCAAAAATTTAGGTCGGCTTTAAAGTATAATCTGAAAAAAGCAAGATGTTATATAACTGAAGGCACACACGAACAATTTTTTTATCCCAATCACATGTTTGTATAAGTTAAGTTCGGCCTGGAATATTCGGCTGAAAGTGGCGCTTGGACTATCAAAATGCACAAAATTGTAGTGGGTCGTTTTGCATCAACCAAAATTTAAATGGCAAACAGATTCAAAGTGTAGAATAAAAAAAATTTAAAGTTTTAGTTTTAAAAATAAAATATTTGTAATACTGTCAATATACATTATGTGGTGTCCGACAAATATTTCGAGGTGTTACAAAAAGAATAATAAAGCTAGAACAAGATCTATATTATCTGCACGAGTAATTCGAATACAATTACAATATCAATCGCAATAGAATGGAGACGATATTATGTTTGTTATTCCTATATATGGAAAATATTGGAAATTGTTAATATTCCATTTTCAAAAATATGTTTTTTTTATTTTTGTGCTACATCAATGATTTTTGGTATATAAAAGCGTAAAATAGGAATGTGGAGATTTTATAATAATCTCGAAAATATGAACATTTTCGCAAGATATGAAAAAATAATACAAATTTAGAGGATTACATTATAATTTTAATTATATTTAAGGCATATATCCACTTAAAAATAATTTAAAATGATCTAAACACCACGCTAAATAAAACAATATTATAATCACAAAAATCGGTCTAGCGTTTTGTAAATTACAGCAAAAAAAAGATATTGAGGAATATTATTTGTTTTTTGTTTTTTTTTGGTTTGAAGAAATATTGGCATCGTATTTATTTTTATGCCCTTCACCACACTGTGGTACAAGGTATTATGTCTTTGTGCATATGTTTGTAACCGGCAAAAGGAATCGTGATAGACCCATGAAACATGCTTGTAATGCATACAATCACTTTCTGAGTCGATTTTTGTGAATAAAGTACAGGTTGCATTTATGATCCGATTTGGATAAAATTGGAGGAAATCGGTTTAGATCCCATATATAGTTTCGCCCGAGTGATGCGTCAAATTCCCTATAATTGTCCGATTGGGACAAAATTCTACACAGAGTACTGAATTAGGTTCAGATTGATGTCTGCGAAGTTGTATTAAAATCGGTTCAGATTTAGATATAGGTTCCATGTATAGTTTCGTCCGATTTTATGTGAATGATGCACAAAACTGCAAAACCAAGTCTGCCCGTTTGACATGCAATTTTCCATTGATTT